AGTACTCGTTCTGTTCGTGTTCAATTTCCCCGCACCTATATACGGTATTATACTACCGATAGCGCCTAGGTTACCGTACAATATCACGGAAGCACCGTTAGGCACTCCGTGGCCGCTTCCGCAACTACTAGATGTCACTGACGAGTTGTTCGTCTTACGGCAATCTAAGTTCCGATTTGACGACGGCGGGTTCAAGTGTGACATTCTAGAAGAAGCGTTTACACGTTACAAGGACGTTATATTCGATGAACCAGAATTGGCTGTGCACGTCGAATATCCGCTCTTAAAGGAACTCAAGGTTGAAGTCACCGGCGAGAAGGGATGTGAAAAGTATCCCAATAGTGATATGACTGAATCTTGTAAGTATTATATTTGCTGTATGTGATATCGGGTAGGCTGTTTAACAGAGTCGTCCCACAACCACCCCCTGCTATCTAACCGACAAACATACATATGTCCCCGGAAGATTGATGTGCTATTTTATAGAGTTATAGTAAACCATAAATTATTTTCATGTATTATTATTGTATTGGCAAGATTTATGATGTATTTCAACTGTTTGTTTAGTCGCATGTTGTAGTTATTTATATTTATAATTTATTGGGCGAGGTGATTTCGTAATATATTTCGTTGCCGTTGGCGCCGTTTTCCTGTCGAGCAACGAAACTCGGGTTCCCGGAAAACGGCATTTAATTCTTGATAGTGGGACACTGTATGTATACTACATTTGTGATTAAGGAAGTAGAAATGGGGTTATTGTACATAGAAACAAGATTGAATGTACTGTATAGTACGTGACCTGGAAATACAAAAGAGGACTTTCAAGTTATGGGAAAGGTGGCAAACGGCGCGTAACTGATAACAAGACAGAAAAAATACGTTAAACATAATAATAATTCGACGGCGTGCGAGTAGCCTGCCCAGTGAGGGCACACTCGAGTCGATGCTTCATTTCATTCAGAAACGTTTCAATCATTTCAGACGAGCTGGTTATTGCTGACGGTGAGGCCTCTTTGATGGCGTTAGAAATATGGGGAGCTCTAAGAGGTAAGTTGTTGGTCAATGCACAAAGTTGGAAAAGTACTAAGTACCGGTGGTATATCAAATATTTGTGTAAATTAAATATTATTTTTAAATATATCCAGGGTTAGAAACGTTTAGTCAAATGGTGTACCAACTGGACGACGACAACGACGGCGAGGTAAAATATTCTCTGCTTTGAAAATTAATACCATTTAAAGCGGGGGGCGTCACCTGCGCACGCGCGGTTCCAAGCGACGACAACAACGCACGCTAAAAACGCAAAGGCTCATAGGTAGACGCTTGTTTGTAAACAATGACACGCTATAGCCATCTGACGCATGCTCTGGTGACGATTCCCCTCCCACTTTAATGTGTTGATAAACTTTTTTATTAACAACCAACAAACTCGTCGTATTTAATACACTGTCATCATCACCATCGCCACCGTTACCAAACAAATAAAAAACATCGTTCTTTACAGTATTACATCAATGCAAGCTATGTTACTGATTTTCCTCGCTTCGGGTACCGTGGTTTTATGTTGGATACATGTCGACACTATATGCCGTTGGACACAATACTCAAACATTTGGTAAGCATAACAACCGCGTTATATCCACATAGCTGGCCATGGCTAACGGGTCGTTTACAGCTGAGCCTTGTGGTGAAAACAGAAGCACTTCGCCGTTGTGCCGTTAGCGGTGCGTTCGCGAAGTAATCTTTTTGCTCTACATTCCGAGACACATTTGTGTCCGTTTATTTGTGTGTTCAGGATTTTTTTGAACACACATTACACCACAGTCGGATTCATTTGAATCCAAATAGTAATATTCTTTATCAAATTTTCTATTAGGATGCGATGGCTTACAATAAATTCAATGTGTTTCATTGGCACATAGTAGACGACCAGGCATTCCCGTACCAGAGCATCAAGTTTCCAGCAATGAGTGAAAAGGTATGGTTTGAATAAGGGATGACATTGAATTGACAAAATAAAATGTGGCACGTCCATTTTACTCCAATATGATATTCGTATACCTATCATGATGACATCAATGAATAGCGTAAGAGTTCACGGCCATCTATGAAGATTTTCTAAATTCAATCAAATTCCGACCCACGCTCTTTGTAAAAGTTGTGATGATGACGTATAGTTTCAAGAAATTTACTTTGCAATCTTCTTCCAAGGGTGCTTACCATCCAGTGAATAAAATATACACACAAGACGACGTGGCATTCGTGGTCGAGTACGCACGACTTCGTGGAATACGAGTCATTCCGGAGTTTGATACACCGGGCCACACCTACTCCTGGGGTAAAGGAATACCGAACTTACTGACAGAATGCTGGGCCAATGGGAAACCTCGTCAGGTGAGGATTGGGGTTTACCCAACGTTCTCTGTGTGTGTGTGTGTGTGTGTGTGTGTGTGTGTGTGTGTGTGTGTGTGTGTGTGTGTGTGTGTGTGTGTGTGTGTGTGTGTGTGTGTGTGTGTGTGTGTTATTCGGGTCACTTTTATTTGTGATGGGATTATAGTGATTCTATGTGTCATACAAAGGTCACGTATACGATTTACATAAGGACGTATGGTTTCAATCGCACAGATTGTATATGACAAACACGCCGACTTTGGACCAATTCATCCAATTGTCAACTCAAGTTATGAGTTTTTGGAAGATTTGTTTGGTGAAATCGTCAATGTATTTCCAGACCGCTTCGTCCACCTTGGCGCCGATGAAGTGAGCTATGCGTGTTGGTAAGTATGTATCAAATGGTGGCGGCTCGGTACCTTGATTCATAATTTGTAAGCATACTAGTATATCATTGCATCTATGCCCCGTGTCCCACGTCTTCGTATTGGTGGGTTGGCTTAATGGTCAAATAAATAATGTACAATTAATGTTTAGCGCAAAAGTGACCATACTTTTATTTCTAGTAGTACGGGAAATAAAATATCTGGTGGCGCAATTATATAACCGGTTGAACTTGGCTTGGTCACTGACATTACTTTGTTCTCAATTCAATGCCATGGTTGCAATCTATTACACTCATTTACAAGTTACAATTCTTATTTTCAAAAAAATAGTAACATGTGAGAAGCAAAGAGCCATTTTTTTCACTTTTTCATGTTCTTCGCCGCCATTTATGAACTTTTTGTGATTGCATTGAATTTGCGACTGCCCCCGTGATCATGATTGACCTACTCGTTTGTGTAAAACGCCTCCAATCTGTCGGTTTGTTATTCCAGGGAAAGCAATCCCGACGTTCAATTATTCATGGAGCAGCGAGGATGGTCTGACAGCGAATACAACAAATTGGAAGAATATTATCAAAATAGATTATTTGATATCATCATTGGTTTGGGATCACGTTTTATAATATGGCAAGATCCCATAGACAACAATGTCACAGTAAGTCGGGTATCAACATATGAAAACGCGAATCATAGTGAACATTATTTTACATTCCACTCATTTCACACTGAAAAACAAAATAAATATGAAAATAATAATCGATCTAGATATAAAATATTGTTTCTAAAGATTTATAACTGGTGGCAATATCATTTCTTATTTGAAGCACACGTTTAGCGTCATGGTGTTGCGTATTGTAAACACTCCTCGATTGCGTCACATGAGTTTGAGCATGACGTCACTATATTACTGTCATCTTAGGTGAGCAACATGACAGTGGTGGAGGTGTGGAAAGATACGTCATTGTGGTACAAATTGCCACCTTACAGGGATGGGTTGGAAAAGGTGACCAAGTTAGGCTTGAAAGCTGTACTGTCGGCGTGTTTTTATCTCAACTATATCGACTATGGACCTGACTGGGAGAGATTCTACCTATGCGAACCAACAGATTTCAATGGTAAGAACAGGAATATTTAATTTGTTTCGATACATGCCGTATCTGCAAACGCAATGACGATGCCATTGAATATTGAGCGTTTATATCACGTTTCATCGCTTCAAAACAAATCAATAATACGACATACAACATTTGCCGTGTTCCGATAATGAAGGTTTATGACACGGTCCCAGCTTCTACCAGCAGCCTATCATTACACTGTAATAATAATCTCGTATGTTTTGAGTTTACATGCAAAGCACTTCATAATTATTAGAACGTGTCACTTCTACAGAATATGTGAACTAACTTCGTATGATGAAAGTCTGAAACCATGGCGATCGTCATTTCAGTTTCCCGACAAGCCTATAATTGCCACTTTTAAAATTGACAGTGCTTTTGTTGTACTCCTTAAAGCGGGAGGGTCGTCACCTGCGCACGCGTGGGAATTGAGTCCCAAGCGACGATAACAACACACGCTAAAAACGCAAAGGCTCATGGGTAGACGCTTCTTTGTAAACAATGACACGCTATGGCCATCTG